GGCAAGCGCGGCAGTTGTATCTGCACATGCACGCAATGAGAAAAACACAGACGAAGGGCAAGATGGGCACGGTGTGCGACAGTGAATGAAAGTGCTCCTGAGCAAACAAGGTGCACGCAAAACAACACAAGACAACACAAGACAACACAGTACAGCATGCAACATACAACACAACACAACATAACACCACATCACACCACACCATACAACAACAACACAACACACCAGTACAACTCAAACGCAACCACAACCGAAATGCAGCAGCACATCAACACCCCACAACACCCCACAACACCCCCCAACACCACATCAACACCCCACAACACCCCAACACCACATCAACAACACAACACCACAACACCACATCAACACAACACAACATACAACAGTATACTACAACTCAAACGCAACCACTGCCACAACCGAAATGCAGCAGCACATCCAGGCCATGCACGTACCGGGTCACCATGACGGAGAAGCGCTTGCCGCAGCTGAGACAGCATGGTGCCTCCTTCTCGGCGGCAAAGAGCCAGGCGTTGTTGCCGACCTGCTTCTCTGGTTCATCCTCCTCGCCTTCCTCCGGGATCGATGGCTGGCGGCCGTCTGTGGAGGCTGGCGTGCGCGGATCCGAGCCGCGGGACATGGCCCGTTTCAACCGGTGCCAGCCGCTGGTGTTGCCGCTGCTTGAGGCGGGGCTGCCGCTGTTGTTGTCATCACCACGGCCGCTGATATCACCGTCCTCTGTGGACGACTCGTTTCGGAGCAGGCGCTGCCACCACGTTGTGCGGCGGGTGCCCATCTTTCACGCTGCGCAGATGATGAGCCGGTACCGTGCCCTCCTTCCACCTTCCACGTCAACTTCCTCCCGCCCTTGCGTGCTTCCCTGCGCGATCGCTGCGCCCTTCCTTGCTCGCTTGTCCGACCGACCGATGCACTCCGATGAAACACACACACGCACACACGCACACACAACCAGCAGCAAACAAAACACCTTCCTTCCTTTCCGTCCTCGCTTCGTGTTGTGTTGTGTTGGCTCTTCTGGAGCGCAAAAGGGGGAGGAGAGCAAAAGTGGACTGGCATACAACCAGGTCGGGTCCTACGAAAAGAGCGCCTGTCAAAAGTGACAGGCCAGGTGTGTTGGCGATCTATTGAAAACACACATGAATTTTCTCACACACGTGGAGAGGGCGCGCGCACAAGCAACAAAAACAAACGGCAAGCAAAGCAAGCAAGAAGAACAACAGAGGAGAAAAACGTGCGTGCGTGTGTGTGTGCACAAAGGCTCAAGACGAAGAAGAAGAGGGAGACGAAGACACACGTGTGTGCCGCTGTGATGTGTTGATGTCGTGTGTGGGTGGGTGGGTGAGTGGATGTGAAGGGAGAGTGGATATAAGAAGGGAGTGTGTGTGTGTGTGTGGTGTGTGATGTGGATTGTTGGTCACCTTGCCTTGTGATCTGGGCAACTGGCATGATGCGCACGTTGAACGAATGTCTTTTATGCCATCCGGCTGCCGTGTCCTCCTCCTCCTCCTCCTCCTCCTCCTCGACACTCATCCCTTGTTCAATCCACCTGCCTGCCCATGTTGGTGTTGTGCTTCACTGTAGAAGACATCACTTCCACAGACAAACAGAACCATGTCCACGGCCCAGCGTTTGCACGAGGCGCTCGAGAGCTGCCTCAACCCCCACGATGACGTGCGCAAGCAGGGCGAGGTACGACTACTGCACCACACGCCACACCTGATCACTCGCATCTCGCTCGAGCGGGGGTCCAAAACGCCCCTGTCTCGTGTGCGGGAGACTGAGATGTCCACTTTCTAGCCTTCGCGTGATTGTTATTCTTGGGTCTTGTGCTGCATCATGCCTTGATGCTGATGTTGACGTTGACTCTGCTTTGTATGTGCGTGCATTCCATACATGACGATATAACTGCTGCTTGACGTGGGCGATGATTGCTGTTGCATTGGCAGGCGGCCCTTGACGCACTGTTTGAGCAAGACATTGCCAGCGCCGCAATCGCTCTCCTGCAGATTATCGAGTCAAGCTCCAACGATGGCGTACGTGTTTGTTTGTTTGTTTGTGTGTGTGTGTGTGTGTGTGTGTGTGTGTGTGTGTGTGTGTCCGCGCGTGCGTGTGTGTGTATGTATGTATGTATGTGTGTGCGTGTGGTGTGTGTGTGTGTGTGTTCGCCAAGAACAAGTATGCTCACATTCAGCTGGACATTTTGTGTGGACAGGTCCGGCAACTTGCCGCGCTGCTGTTCCGCCGCCACTGCTTCTCCATGGTGCAAGTCAACTTCAACTTCTGGAGCGAATGCAACCTCGAGACACGCGTGCGTACCCGTGTGTGTGCGTGTGTCTGTGTGTTTGTATCTGTGTGTGGGTATGTTGTCTTGCTTGTCTTGCTTGTCTTGCTTTGTTTGCAGTTTGTCGCGCTTCTAGGTGGATGCCGTGTTGTCGCTACACGGTTGTGCTCACGGTCTCCTGTGCTCTCATGCGTGCATGCATACAGGGTGCCATCAAAGCCAAGCTGCTCGAGCTCCTTTCCAACTGGTGAGCATCCCCAACCTCCTTGAAAGCACACATCCACACATGTGCACACACGAGTCCACGTGCCCTTCCCCCCCCCCCCACAAAAACAAAAGCACACAAACCACCACCACTGTCATCTCACGCCCTCCACTCTGCATCTCACTTTCCCCGCGCGACAGGAGCGAGGACAACGAGAGCCTGAAGCACAAGGTGTGCGAGTGCGTTGCCGCTGTTGTGAAGGCGATTGGCATGGAGATTTCCGATCAGGCAGAGGAGGCAGGCCACGACATTACAGACGTAAGCCAATGGGATGGCACGGGGAGAAGGGGATGGGATTGTGCGGTTGTGTGTGTGTGTGTGTGTGCTGGATGGGCTTGTGCTGCATGTTTGTAGAGTGTTAATAACGACCACAACAGCAGCTTGCGTTGGTCATCATGCATGCGCCTCGTTCCTGCACCTCCTCACACACACACACACACACACACACACACACACACACACACACACACCACCTTCAACCCCATAACAATGCACATCACGTGCAGCTGATGATGCCGTGCGCTGACGAGTACTGGCCGGAGCTGCTGCCGACGCTGTGGGCCATGGCCCAATCCGGCAACGCAGACCACCTCGAGACATCCCTCTTCATCTTCAGGTGTGTGCGCGCGCGTGTGTGCATGAAGTAGTGTGTGTGTGTGTGTGTGCATGAAGTAGTGTGTGGTGTGTGTGTGTGCATGAAGTAGTGTATGGTGTGTGTGTGCGTGTGTGTGAACCTGTGGGGATGTGACATGCCACCTCAAGCTGGTGGCCGCCATGCTGTTGCTTACATATCCACACACTCGCACATACACGTCCACATTCGTGTGCGCGCGTTTTGCTTGACGGCAGCTGCATCCCTGGTGTGTTTGGGACGAGCATTGAGAAGTATGCCGAGGCCATCCGTGACCTCCTTGCATCAAGCATCAGCCACGACGACCTCAAGGTGTGCGCACACCCATTGCACGGACATACGAATGCACGCATGCACATCTTGTTGTGTCGTGTGCCGCTCGTGTGCGCATGCATGCATACGAATGCGGCTTGTCACTGTATGTGCTCATTTAGGACACCTTGCTCACCCACCGTCCAACGCCACTGTGTATGTGTGTGTACACAGGTGCAAGTGTCTGCTGCGCTGGCCTTGAGCGGACTGCTCGGCCGCATGGAGACGCAGATTGCTCGCTACTTTGCAGACCTCCTCCCGCCAACCATCATGGTGCGTGTGTGGGTGTATGCGTGCGTCTGTGTGTGTGTTTAAGTGTCAAAGTGTGTATGAATAATCTGCTGAACTGTCGATGGACTTGTTTGTGGGTTGTTTCAACTGTAGCCGTGTCTCCATACCCATTGTGTCTCGTGTCCCCTTCACTCATTCACCCTCATTCACACACCATGACACACACGCAGGTTGTTGCAAAGGCGCTTGAGGCGTCTCAGGTGTCTGCGGGCGAGAAGACGCTCAAGGCGCTGGTAGAGCTTACGGAGACGCAGCCAAAGCTCTTCAAGGCCCACATTGTCGACATTATCAAGCTTATGCTCAGCCTCACAAGCAACGGCGTACGTTTCCTTCGTTGTGTTCAGTGGTGGCTGTGATGTGTGCTGCAGGGTACTTTGCACAGATGTTTTGCACATGTTCGCGCACACTCGCACAAACTCGCATTTTCAACACTGGAATCATTACTCACACGTATGTATTTCCAAATGTGTGTGCGCCTTCGTGTGTGCGTGTGTGTGTGTGTGTCGCCTTCATGTGTGTGTGTGTGTGTGCAGGAGATGGACGACGGCTGCCGGCGCCTGGCGCTGGAGGTGTGCGTCGGGCTGTGCGAGAGCGGCGGCAGCATGATGCGCAAGGTCCCAAACTTTGTCGACAACATCTTCCCCGTCTGCCTCCAGGTGTGTGTGTGTGTGTGTGTGCATGATGCGGAGGCGCGGCTGTGTGGGATGTAGATGGCTCGTGCGGGTGAGGTTGAGGTTGCAATGCAGGGTCAAGTGCATGCTGCCGTGTCGTGGCCTCCCCGCTCTACCTGTGCTCACCATGTCCGTACCTGCATAATTGCATGTGCGCGTGCGTGTGTGATTATTACAGCTGATTATGGAGGTTGAGGAGGACGACGAGTGGTCGATGCAGGACGAGCCCATCCAGAACGAGGACGAAAACTCAATCTGCGGCGAGGACGCCCTCGTAAGTCGCCGTTGTGTCTGTGTGTGTGTGTGTCTGTGTGTCTGTGTGTGTGTGTTGGCACGCACATGGTGATGTGGTCTGGGCTGTCCCTGCCCTGTCAACCACCCCTTGTGTGGTCTCTCACCCCTCAAGCACACACGCACGCACACGCACGCACACGCACGCGCACACATCACCATCGCCACCATCACCATCACCATCACCCTCCTTGCCACCCCAGGACCGCATTTCGCAGGCGCTTGGCGGGAAGCAAGTTGTTCCTGTTGCCTTTAGTCTGCTGCCGCCGCTGATGGAGAGCGGCAACTGGCGCGAGCGCTACGCGGCCTGCCTCGCCATCTCCTCCATTGGCGAAGGTGCGGTGGCTGTTGTTGTTGTTGTTGTTGTTGTTGTTGTTGTTGTTGTTGTTGTTGTTGTTACTCTACTCTGCCTGTACCCTCCCCTCGTCCAACTCGATTTAGTCTGTCCGCTGCTGCGTGCTCACCTCCTCCTCGTACTGCTGCTGGTTGACATGTGTGTGTGTGTGTGTGCAGGCTGCTACAAGGTGATGCGTGACAGCCTGGACGGCATCCTCGAGAAGTGCCTGCCCCTCCTCGGCGACCAGGTCAGCAGCACCCTGTGCTGAGCTATGCTTGTGTGTGTGTGTGTGTGTGTGTGTGTGTGTGTGTGTGTGTGTGTGGTTTGGTGTGTGGTTTGGTGTGTTGTGGTGTGTTGTGGTTTGTTTTGTTCGCCAACCACACAACACAAACAATCACCCTCACGCACACGCCCGTACAAGACATTTCTAACTCGCTCCCCCCACCCCACCCCGGCCAATCACTGCCATTGCACACGTGCAGAACATGCGTGTGCAGTATGCGGCCATCAATGCGATTGGGCAGATGGCGGTTGACTTTGCGCCGCGCACGCCCAAGGAGTACGGCGTGAGCTTTGCCGGCCGCTTCCACCAAGTCGTCATCCCGGCATTTGTCGAGTGCATGAAGCAGGCAGACGGACACCCGCGCGTCCAGGTGCGACGCAGTGCGCGCGCGTGCGTGTGCGTGTGTGATGTGCCCGGCGTGCGTGTGTGTATGTGCGTGATGTGCTGTGATGTACCGTGTGTGTGTGTGCCGTACTGTGTTACGCGTCGTACCTTCGGAGTGTGTATGTATGGCCTGTTTGACGCCAACTTTCCGTTGTCGTGCCTCACATGCCTGGTGTTCGCTCTCCAACTCCACCTCCCGCTTGTTGTGTTGTATCAGGCGCACGGCACGTTTGCGCTTGTGAACCTGATGGACAACACGAAGCACTCTGACCTCGAGCCGTACACCGAGATGCTCATGCAGTGCATCTCCGTCCTCCTCCAGTCACAGTCAGTCGCGCTGTGTGTGTGTGATTGTGATTGCGATTGCGATTGTGATTGTGACTGTGATTGTTGTTCTACTTGATAGCCGCCCTGGATCAGTGATGAGTGCTGATGTGCTGTCGTTTGGGCAATGGTCCGCATCACTGATCACATCCCTACCACAACAACACGACAACCACACACATACGCACACACTCACACACATCATCATCATCATCATCATCATCATCATCATCATCATGTCTTCCCCCTCGCACAGGTTCATGCTTGTGCAGGAGGCTGCGGTTGGCCTGCTGGCGACGGTGGCGGACGTGGCACAGGAGCGCTTCAAGGACTACTACAACGACTTTATGCCGTTTATGAAGAACATTCTGCAGCACGCCAACGAAAAGCAGTACCGCATGCTGCGCGGCAAGACGCTTGAGGCCGCCACCCTGATGGGCGTGTCTGTTGGCAAGGACATGTTTGCGCCGGATGCACACGAGCTCATGCGCATTATGCAAGCCAGCGCCGCCCAGATTGAGGAGGACGACCCGCAAATCTCATACATCCACACAAGGTCAGCGTTCAGGTCAAGTTGCGAAGGGGGGAAGGTTCCTGTTTGCGTTTGTTTCGTGTGTGTAGTTGTGTGTGTGTGTGTGTGTGTGTGTGTGTGTGTGTCTGCGTATATTCTGCGTTGCGATCCTCTCATATTCTTCTCTGCTCCCTTTGTTCACACACACCTCTCCTCCCATCCCTCCCAACTCTGCAGCTTTGCGCGCATCTGCCAGGTGCTTGGGGACGACTTCTACCCGTATCTGGACACGGTGCTGCCGCCGCTGCTGCGGTCTGCGCGGCTTCCCTCGGGCATTGTTGAGCTGGACGACGAGGAGGCTGTGGAGCACCTCCCCGACGGCGTCCAGGCCTGGGAGGTCCTCGCCATCGACGACCAGGTTGGCTGTGATTTGTGTGTGTGACGTGTGTTCGTGTGTGTGACGTGTGTGTGTGTGTGCTTTTGGTGTGCCACACAACCTCCACTTTGCCGTTGTTGTTTTGTTTTCCGAAGCATGTCGTGCTGTGCTGACTGTGCTACCTTCTCCCTTCCCCGTCCCCCCCCCCCTCCGCCCCTCCGCGCTTCCCCGCCTGCTGCAGCGGTTTGCGATCAAGACGTCTGTGGTGGAGGAGAAGCGCGCTGCCATTGAGATGCTTGTGCTGTACAGCCAGCACCTCGGAGGCAAGTTTGCCCCGCTCGTTGAGGACGTGGCTGAGATTGCCCTCAAGAACCTCGCCTACTACTTTGACGAAGGTGCGCGTTATGGGTGTAGTTTCGGTGTTTGTGTGTCGTCGTGTTGGATTGTTGTGTGGGTTTGTTATGGGTGCACCGTGCAATGTCATTGTCTCACCTTGGAGTGTTGTGTGCTGGTGTTGCCTGCAGGGATTCGCATTTCGTCCGCCATCCTGCTGTCCTTCCTCATCCACTCCTACAACGCCAACGATGAGGTGCGCCGTTGAGTGTGAGAGTGTCTGTGCGTTACAGTCCACTGCACTTTCACCTGAATGCTTGCGGACACACGCACCCAAGCACACGCACGCACCCAAGCACATAACAGTGCTCACACAACCTCTCCCTTGCATCGCATGTTGTGCGTCTGCGCGCATGAGTATAGTTTGGTGCTGCCGCTGCGCTGAAGCTGTTCCAGCACATGTATCCGAAGCTGCTTGCCGAGACGCAGCGCGAGCCGTACCCAGAGGTCCTCTCCTCAAAGATCAGCGGCATCCACATGTGCATCACAGGTGTGTGTGTGTGTGCGCGCGCGTGTGTATGTGTGTGTCTGTGTGTGTCTGTGGGTGTTTGTTTGAGTGGAGTGCGACCGTCGCTGTCGTTCTTGCGAGGATGCCATCGCCCGTTGCTCACTTCGTTTTCGTGTTTGGCGTGTTTAGAGATGGGCGAGGCTGCACTGCAGCCGGAGTTTCTCACGGAGGTCTCCGCCCTCGTCCTCAAACTCCTCGAGGACTACGACGAGCGGTGTGTGTGTGTGTGTGTGTGTGATTGCCCTGTGATTTTTGCTCTGCTTGCTTGTGTTGTCGCTTGGACGTGTGCGATACCTCATGTCAAGCTGTGCATTCGTCCCTCACACACAAACACCTACGCACCTCCACACGCATTCACTTGCACGCGCGCATGGCTGGTGGTGGCAGTGCAAAGGAGCGGTATGAGCAGCGGCAGCAGGACGAGGACCACGACGAAGAGGAGGAGGAGAACCTCTCTGATGAGGAGGAGGCCGACTTTGAGGTGCTGAGCGAGGTGTGCACCCTGGTGCAGGTAATTGTGCACATTGGCGGGCTTGGCACGAAGCCATTCTTTGACAGCGTTGCGCCTGCGATTATGAACCTGCTGAACGCGGGCCGCCCTACAGCAGACTACCGCTGCGCCGTCAGCACCTTTGCAGACGTCGTCGAGCAGTTCCAGCAGGTGCGCAAGAGGGGAGGGTGGTGTGCATTGTGGTGGTGTTAGACGCTTTGCTTGTTGTATGGTCTGGTCTGGTTGGTTGAGGCGCTGTGTTTTGGCTGTTATTGTGCGTGTGTTTCGTTCCTCGTGTACCCTTGTCTGTCTGTTCTGTGTGCATCTTACCCCGATCTGTGCCCACTATCCCCCCCCCGCTTCCAATCTGTAGGAGGCCGTGCCGTATCTGCAGCACGTGAGCCAGGCGTTTGTGCAGCACATCACCTCGGAGGACTATGAGCTGCGCGAGCTCGCGGCATACGTCGTTGGCCTCATGGCCCTTCACTCCGGCCCCGCCGTTGCTGAAGTCTGCAAGGCCGTACGTTTGCGTAATTGTGTGGGTGTGTGTCTGTGTGTGTCGGTGTGTGCGTGTGTGTGCGTGTTCGTGTGTGTGTGTGTGTGTGTGTGTGTGTGTGTGTGTGTGTGTGTGTGTGTGTGTGTGTGTGTTCGTGTGCGTGTGAACGTTGAACATGTCGTTTCGTTGATTGCCTCGCCCTGCTCTTCCGCCTTGCCAAACCTCATATTCCAACCCTCACCCCACCCCATCCTTTCGTCCTGCTGCGTTCAGGCTGTTGAGCCGCTGCTTGCTGTGATCCAGGCGCCCGGCTCCCGCGAGTCGCCCAACACCAGTGCAACCGAGAACTGCATCTCCGCCTTTGTCAAGATTGCACGCAACCCAGCACACGGCCTCTCAGAAGGTGTGTGTGTGTGTGTTGGCGTTGTGAGTTGGTTCACTCCTTCTTCGCTGCTCTCTACGTTGTTGGTTGCTCCTATCATTACGTTTCGGTCGCTTATTCTTTACCTCCTCATCCACCCGTCCACCATCAACCCTTGCACAGACGAGATGCTGACGCATCTGCTTGACTGGCTGCCCATCACGGAGGACGATGATGAGGCAAAGTACATCTACACATACCTCGTCGAGCTCCTCCAAGCGTAAGTACTTCTTGTGCGCTGTGTGTGTGTGTGTGTGTGTGTGGGTGTGTGTGTGTGTGGGTGTGGGTGGAAGGGGGTGGCTTCTGCTGTGCGTTGTGTGCGTGCGTGCGTTGGCGGTGTACTCCGCCGCCTGCCGTTGTCGATCTCGACTGACCCTTACTCCCCCCCCCCCCTTTGCTTCCCATGCTTCCCTCCCTCTCGTTACTTTTGCCTTTCTTTCCTTGGTGGTTGGTTCTGCAGGCAAGACCCACGCGTGACTTGCGCCCTGAGAGCCTG